ATTCAGATAAGATATGTGTCACCTCTGGGCGAACTGCTGTCAGTGAAGGGGGCAACAATGAGGTCGGTCGAGTAGGGCGAACAGCTGGTATAACAGCAGCCGACTCGTCGGCTGCTGCGAATGGTCGCTGAGGTGCCGACCTGGGTCCCTATGGAAAGTAGTATATAACACAGTTAGTGTTTTTTAGAAAGAAACATTGTGGCATGGATTGGTTTAATCTTACCAAATTCACAGAAGTCTCCGAATCGGACGAAGACACTTCTTCTATTTCTGGAGGTTGGGCTGCCACAGGTGGTTCTTCTGCCTGCCACTCGATTGCTGGAGGGAGCGCCGCTGCTGGCTGGGCGGCTGCAGGTTGGGCAGCTGCGTCTAAAGCCACTGCAGCTGGTATCTCAGGAGCAACTGGGATAGCCGCAGCTGTGGCATTTTCGGTTTCCAGCGCGGCTGCATCCGATTGGACTATTTCGGGATCAGCAGCAGCAGGGATGTCGTCTTGAGGGTCAGCTTCGATAAGGGCAGCTGGTTCTTCCTTCGAAATGGATGAGTCTGATGCCATGTATGGTGGTCGACCCATCTGGGAAGTAGTCCCCTCGCTGTCTGAAGGGACTCCTGCTGCTGATGCGATTGGTGAAGGTGTCTGTAAAAATTATGGAAATGTTGTTGTTGAATACACCAAGGTTTATCATTGGAATCCTAAGTATTGCTGATAAGAGGACTTACTGGTTCTATAGGCAGTGTTGGTAAAGATTGCCTTCTGGTCGGGTGCCTGGCCCGACCGCTCCTCGGTGCAGGAGGAAGAGTTTGCCTCCTTGTCGAGTCCTCCGCCCGACTGCTCATTGGCAAATTGGTCTGGACCAAAGGTACGATTGAATGGTCGGCTGGGGCTGGCGTCGTTTGTGTGGTCGGTGTCACCAAGGTCGGTTCTGGTGAATGAAATAAGTGAAATCAAAGTTAAGATATAGTGAATTGGTTCACGGTTTTCAGAAAAATTACCTATTCGGGGTCGGGTCCTTGCTGACGTCCTAGTAATTCCAAGGTCCGCCGGAGCTTGCTGGTCGGCCCCAGAGGTCGGGGGTGTTTGCAGCTGGGAAGCTTTCCTTTTTCGCATTGGAATGCTAGATCCGATTCCCGGGGCGGCTGTTTGTTGCTGAGTGCTAGTATGTCTAGCCGCCCCTAGAACCAATCCTTGGGGGGGAAGGAGTATGTTCAGCAACCGATCCTCATCAGGGGAAATCAGGGGCCATACAACCGACCACCATTCATTGAATGTATCTACAGTCTCAGGATTGGAGCGGAAAGGAATATAAGAATTGGAAACTATATACGTGGTGAGCTGGGAGATATAAGAAGGGATTGAATTAGGTAGGACTCGTCGGTCAGGACTTTGAAAAATTATATGAGGACAAGCGACGGGTCCAGGGATACCTTGGCAACAGCCGAACTGGCGCGCCATGAATTGAGGTTCATAATTAAAGGTGCAAAAAGTTTTTTGCCCTTTTTTATCAAGTTTTTTGCTGCTAAAAAGAGACCTGGGTTTGAGGGCAACGTCCCAGGCAAAAGGATAGGTGGGATGAGGACAAGGCTCAGGAGTCGGAAGAGGATTTGGTGCCGGAAAGGGCCAAAAATGGTCGGGAGCATAACCCGCATATTTTTTATACATAGAAAATCGAGAGTTACTGCGGGTATCCGTTACAATTGTGGTTATTATTGGATCGGAAGATTGGAGTTTACTGCGTCCTGAGCAGAGTCGGTTGAGGGCTAATCCCAAATGTTTTTCGGATATTGGCATAGTGGGCGGAGATCCTAAGTTGAACGCGTTGGGGAAGTAAAGACGGAACCAAAGTTCTAAAAACCAAAAAGGACCCGATGCGGCAGTGTCTAATTTTCTATTATCATTATCTGTTAAACGAAGGCTAACTCTAGTAAGTCCTTCAAACAGATTGGCTAAAAACAGAGTGCCAAGGGAAAAGAACCGACCAGACGCGATATGAATGGCTAGGTCGAGATGAGAAGGAAGAACGCATTTAGAAGGGGAAACAATGACGTACCTACAAAGCCAAAAAAGGATAAAGGCAGTATGCTCCCGGTCGGTCACGGGGGTCCCTGGAGCCCCTTGCTGATCGGTTGCGAACTTTGTCCAGCCCCATTCCTTCACACCTTGTAAAGACCACCCTGGATGGTCTTCTGATGGCTCCTGCCCATCTAGGGCTCCCATCACAGGGTCTTCACCCACGACTGGGAGATGCGCGATCATTGCCACATCCATAAGAGTTGGACCAAAGGGGCCCGATGGTAAGAGAAAAGTCCCATTTTCCGCATTCCAGAAGGCAGACATGGCTAGGAGCACCTTCTCGTGCAGATTGATCGGCATGGTGGACAATAGTATTGCTTGGTCGATTTTTTGAGATCGCCATTGGGTCTGGAAGTGTTCCGCTACCCGTCGATACCAAGAGCGGTAAGGATCTTTTGGGTCTGTGAGATGGGTTTTGATGCTGTCTCGAATGCGAACTGCTTGGTAGTTAGGGTTGTTGATAGCCAAGGAATTTCGGGATTCCAAAACTTCCCTCATCCGATTTGAGTCTTCAGGAGTGGTGCAATATGGGCGGATCGTCGGAGTTAGTACTTTCGAGGCTGAAAACGGGCCCTCTGGGAGGGTTCCGTCGAAGGGAAGGGCAGGAATGTATCGATTCGCCATGGTTAGAGTGGTTAAATTGTGATTCACAAAGGATCGTATTGCAGAGAAGGAAGTTAATCAGGAGTGTTGCAGTAACTGGTGCAGTTGCTAAGGAAATTTTTCAGAGGATGGTGATTTATGAACTTCCAAACATCGATTGATAAATGGCGTTTGAAAGTCCCTCGGCGGCGGGCAAGTTGTTATGTATGAAATTTAGAATTAGGTTAAAAAGCCCAAGGTAAAAGAAAAATGGGCCTGACATTAGAGTTGGTTGAACTGGTTCAAGGAAAATAGGTTTATTTCTAAGGACGGAAAGACCTCAGGTCGGAAGGTCTTCAGGTCGGTAGGTCCTCAAGACGGAAAGTCCTCAGGACGGAAGGACCTCAGGTCGGTAGGTCCTCAGGACGGAAAGACCTCAGGTCGGAAGGTCTTCAGGTCGGGAGGTCCTCAAGACGGAAAGTCCTCAGGACGGAAGGACCTTAGGTCGGTAGGTCCTCAAGACGGAAAGACCTCAGTTCGGAAGGTCTTCAGGTCGGGAGGTCCTCAAGACGGAAGGTCATCAGGACGGGAAGTCCGCAGGTCGGGAGGCCCTCAGGACGGGAAGTCCGCAGGTCGGGAGGCCCTCAAGACGGGAGGTCATCAGGACGGGAAGTCCGCAGGTCGGGAGGCCCTCAGGACGGGAAGTCCGCAGGTCGGGAGGCCCTCAGGACGGGAAGTCCGCAGGTCGGGAGGCCCTCAAGACGGAAAGTCATCAGGACGGGAAGTCCGCAGGTCGGGAGGCCCTCAGGACGGGAAGTCCGCAGGTCGGGAAGTTCTCAGGTCGGGACTCTGGGGCAGGGCCAACAAATCGGATGGTTTGTTAGTCGGGATGTCTGTAGCTAATCCAAACAAGTCAGATGGTTTGCAAGTCGGGAGGATTGGCAGCTGGACCAATACGGTCGTAGATTGGCGGTCGGGCCTAAAGGGCGGAAGGTATGTGGTCGGCTCAAAGAGTGAAATATAGGGATAATTTTGGTCTGCTGAGGACACGTGTCAGCATGAGAAGGGTTGGACGACGGTTGGGAAGGAGACGTTGTAACCGTTCGGGTGACGGTTTTCAGTACGGTTTCCCAGAGAATATTTAAAGGTTTGGATAATCATTTGGCAGGGTATCTTCAATCAACTTCAACAAAGCAAAGTCAGATTTGGGGATCACCACTTTAAATTTCAGTCTTTTATTTTCCAGTTTATTTTCTGTACCATACAGTGTTTAGAGATTCCTAATCTCAGGCACTAATTAATCAAGTTTAAGGATATTTTCTATATCTTTGAATTTTACTTTATTTTTGTTGAAAAAATTACATCAACAACAATAATTATTAAGAAGGGATATAAATGACAGAGATATAGATCCTGAATATCCTGAACGAGTGATATCCATGCGACTCCCATTAGCAGTGTGTATAGGCAATGAAGAAGACACATGATGCATATCGGTCAAGAGACCAAATATAGGTGTCATATGATGGCAACAACCAGAATCAAAATATCTCGAATTATTTATACCATAAGAGGAATTGGAATAAAAACCAATCACGCATTGCTATAAATCACGAAATCAAATCGAATAATCCAACCGGTAACAGTCGTAACATAAAATCAACTCTGATGAAAAAATTAATCACACCATCATGTAAGGAACCAAAGCAGGAGGCGGTGGCTAAAAAACGACGGCCGGAAGAGGGCAGACGTATCGCCACGCGCGGCCGAAAAATGCGGCAGCGGAAATATTTTCCGCCACGATTTGTGTCGGAGGGCTCCACGCGCCGCCGTTGGCGGAGATATTTCGGTGACGAGGTTGTTGGACGACAACAATTCTGACGGTGTGAGCGATGTCAACCGGAGAGTGGCGATAGACGGCGAACAACGACAGCGGCGCCTAGGGTTTGGTTTTGAAAAATCGGACTCTAATACCATATTAGAATTTGTAGAAAAATTATGAAATTGTATTATGTCAAAAATAAGAGTTTACAATATATATATATATATATATATAGTAGTAGATTCAGGCCTAAATTCACAAAATAATATCAAGGAAATATCTAAATCTACCAGGTTTAATGGTTGATGAAAGGTGATTAAAAAGATGACTATTATTAAAGATGATTTGAGTATGTTCATTGTGAATCGATTTATTGTGTTGGTATAAAATCGCTTCAGCAGAGTTCCATTATCGGTAGCTTGATTATTATATGCTTTGTGGGTGATTTTTATCTCTTTGTTGCTGGATATATTTACTCACTTTTGGTTTGTAGCTCATGTTCTGATGTATTGTTATTTATTACAGGCTTCCCCACTAATCGCGGGACTTACTATTGCTGCTGCTGCACTAGCTGGTAGATATAGCATTCAGGCTTGGCAAGCATTCAAGTCGAGGCCACCTACTGCAAGAATGCGTAAATTCTATGAAGGGGGTTTCCAGCCAAAAATGACAAGGAGGGAGGCAGCACTTATTCTTGGTGTTAGGTGAGTTCCATATTTCTAACCTTTTGAAGGTATATATTTTCATTGACTGTTGTTTTCTAGCATTCCTCAAATTAGCGCAAAATTCCTATCTTCATCAGCTTAGCAATCTTTTGTTGCAGGATGTCTTTATTTGAGCCCTACATGAACAAATTGAAAACCACACAAAGCTGTAGGGTCAAACAATTTTTGTTGTAAAATGCGCTGAAATTCTTGATGCTGTGACTTTCTTCATATGAAATAAATGTAGGATTTAGCCAAATCCAATTGACTTAAGTTCATCCTGGTTCACCTTATATTGCGTAGACATGCTGTTTCAAGGGACCTTGAACATTCTTGAACTCAATTTACTTGAGAGCACTGTATTTTCAGCATCTTCTTGATCTTTCATTGTCTTGTACGCTTTTACTAAAACTTGCAGTGTGTCACATAGATCTAGTTCGATTTTTCCTTTCCATTATGGCGTCGGACGTTTGAATTAGCAAGCATCCGTAGCCAAGCACAGGAATTTTGTGAAAATTCTCTTTGCTTTTTCTATTTCATAAGTCCCTCCCTTTTTCACATGAAAACCAGGTGTTTTGAGGATGCACTTTAACCATAGATGGAAACTGCCTTTGTTGTGGGGATCCTAGTTGCTTCTGCATATATTATCTTTTTCTTTTTATTTTGCATGTTAGTTTTTCCGTTAATGCATATATTATCTTTTTCTTTTTATTTTGCATGTTAGTTTTTCCGTTAATGAGAATCTGATGTCTCAATCCCCCCTATTTGCCTTGCTTTTGCATACATAATGTTGTTTTATTTTTACTTTTAGCCTTTATTCATTAATGGGAACTTGCTTGGTGGCCCAGTTGATTGCGTAATGTGTTAGTGATTGCTTTCTCTTCTCTGCGGTAGTTATGCTTATACAACCTCAATGGGTGCTTGTGCTTGTGATGTCAATACATTGATAGATAGTTGGCATAAAGTGTGGTATCCATCTGTTTTCCATGATCCCCATAAACAACACACACAAACAACATATATGTATGTGCCTCGTTTTGTTAATTTGATGTTGTGAATGCAATTGTGATCAGGGAAAGCACTCCACCTGATAAGATAAGAGAAGCACACAGGAGGGTGATGGTAGCCAACCACCCGGATGCAGGTGGGAGTCACTACCTGGCTTCCAAAATCAATGAAGCTAAAGACATACTGCTTGGAAAGGCCAAGAGCAGCGATTCTGCCTTCTAACCACATTCACCAATGATGGAACCAAACCAAATTTCTTGCTTATCCATAAACAATTATAATCAGCAGCATCATTTGGGGAGGAGGGCAAGGCAATGCCATTCTTCTATTAATTCTACTTGGCACATATACCTACCACTGTAGTGTACATACATATTTGTGGAGAACCACATTTTAGCTGAAATAATGGTGGGTTTTTTTTTTTTTTGTATGTACTGTTTCAATGAGGAAAGGAAAGGACGGGACTGGACAAGATGCTTTCTTTCTTCTTCTTCTTCTTCTTCTTCTCTTTCCTTTTTTTTTTTTTTTTTTTTTTTTTTTTTTTTATAGGTATGTATGGGGTAAATTTCAATTTTTATTTATTTATTTTATCATAAAGATCAAGAAGTTTTTATATATTATAAATAAATAGAGATATTTACAAGAAACGCCTGGTATATTCGGGATATAAAAAACGATCAAAGGTGACATGGCACCTGGATCATGGTTTGCCGTCGCAGATCGGCATTCATCGTTCCAGATAGGTCGCGGCTGTCAAATATTGGTCAAAAATTTAAATATAAAATTTTATATTTTTAAATTATAATTGATAATAAGTAATTAAAATAATTAAATAAAATTAATTTTATAAAATTAAAAATTAAATAATTAAATTCAGTTATAATTTGAATTATTCTTAATTTTTGTAATACTAGTACTTCAAAATTTAATTTAATATAGCTTCTTTCCCATCTACTTCATCTTATCCAATCGTATTACCTTCTAAAATCGGTTTTTGTTTCCCTAACGAACCCTATTCTTCTTCTTCCTCCCACTTTTTTGGCGGATCAATTTTTTTTTTTCTTCTCATTCTATTGTTTAAAAATTTTCCTACTTTATTTTGTTCTTTTTCAAAAAACAAAAATAAATAAAAACAAAATTACAGAAAAAAGAAAAAAAAAATTGAAAAAATTGGATATGGTAATGGAATCGGAACGGCCCGATTCCGGATTGGCTGAGTCGACCGGACTCAGCCGACATGGTGAACCATGACCTGGATGGACTAATAAAAAGAACTAGCAGGAGAGACAAAAGTATGGGAGAGAACTCAAATTAATTGTTCATGGCATAAATTAGCTGTGTCTATAATTAAATTAAGAACTTTAATTACAATAGTTAATTCATGAATGATCAACTGGGCTCGGCTCTTGTATTTGAATCCCCAGTGGGCTTTAAGGAGATGATCCCAATGGTCAATGTAGCCAAGGCAGAAGGAGCAGCAGCAGCAGCAGTGAAACAGCATGAAGAACCAGAATTTAGGAAGCAGCCAATGTCGGACAGCCAGCAGTACCTGTTTTAGCATAAAAAATTCGAAAACTAACATGTTTTAATTTTAAAAAACTGAAACGGAGGGATCCAGCGCAAAGTTTTCAAGCGCTCCTTTGTTACGAGCAGTCCAAATATAGTAAACAGTTGCCGCTAAGCTGGCAAACCTCAGCCGCAACGAAACTGAGCTAGTCCATACTCTTCTGAATGGTGTTGAGTTGACTTGGAGGTTGAATCCAGGAGCAAATTTCCTGCCAAATCTTAGAAGAAAAGAAAAGGTGCCGGATATCCTCCGCCTCGTCCTTACAGAGGACACACAATCAAGGAAGGAAATCCTTTCCGAGGACAGCCAGCCACAGGATAAACGAGTGCTTAGGAAGAGCGGAAGAGTTCCAATCGTAAGATACGGTATTGTTTGTTTTTTTGTTTTTTTTTTCTTTAACGATGTAGGAACTCGTAGCCGCTATCTGAAACACTGAGTAAACAATGTGAAGTATGTTATTCTTATGTTATACCATGCAAACTAGGCCAGACAAGGCAAGTCACACCGGTATTGTTCTTATTGTTATTCTTATGTTATATGTGAAGTGTGTTATTTTGGAGTGGAGAGGCTTTATGTTATGATAAATAAATGAAGGCAAAAGGGAAGGAGTTAAAAATATGGCCTGGAGCAGCATCTTATTATTATTATTATTATTATTATTATTTATTTATTTTTTTAAAAGTAACTTCTATATATTATATAAACAATTTTTTATATTTTATATAAAAAAAAACTTATATATACTCTTTTATATTAACTGTGTCCTCCCCTCTCTAATCCTACTTTGAGGTAATTTTATGGTTAATTCAGTCATTTTATAAATTTTATAATTAATTCATTTAATATTTTTTTAGCATACAAAAATCTATATTTATGTTAACAGTAACTTAATAGTAGGATATTGCAACATCTGTATTTATTGTATATTATTATGAAAATATCACAATATCCGAAATGTAACAATACATAAACTTTAAAAAAATTTACTTGTCCAGTTCGATTTAAATTAATATAGATTTGGAAGCACTGGCAAGCAAAAAAATTAATTTATATTATGAATAAATAAATTACATCAAAAGTATCAGAAAATATATATAGGGTTAGGGCCGGATTACACTGTGTCCATGTCATGTGCCATCAGTTTATTTTATTTAGAGTAAAAAAAAAAGTTTATTATGATTTATGAATTGTGCTATCAATAAAAAAAATTGCAATGCTTTATTAAAAATTTAAAATAAGTTGTTATCCAAAAAATTTAAATAGATTAGTTAAAATTTAAAATACCGCGGGTAACAAAATAATTAAAATTCAATCCAATTAAAACAATTAATTTACATTATATAAAAAATAATATCCCATAGATTCGTGTAGATACATCCTATAGAAGTAATATTCAACTTGCATATTCCAAAACCTAAGTTAATTCCATCAAATTTGTTAACGAGAAACTCTCCTTCCATAATTGTGATGGCTCCCGCTCGGCAAGGCTCTTATATAATTGTTACAAAAATACTACAATATCCGAAATAAAATAAAATAAAAATTAAGAATATCTGCTTATCCAGAACAATTTAAACTAATCCATATTTGAAAGTGCTGTCAAATCAAAAATTTTACAATACATAAAAAGTACTAAAAAAAGATATATAGGATTGAAACCTTAAGTTTATATATAGTATATACATATTATAACCCTGTTAAAAATGGTTGTTTGTTATCTTAACAAATTCTAGTCATATTCTTATTTTTAGGTTTGTTATAAAATTTCACAATCCAACATATATTATTTTAATAGATAATGTGCTTTTTATTTTTTTTTCTTGGTGTGTTTTTTATCTTTTACAATAAATTAGAGTAAATTTTTCTTATTCATAACAATATTAGCATTTAGTCCCATTAAAAATACATTAAACTACTTATTTTTACATTTTATTTATTTATTTATTTTACAAATAACACTATATATCTCATTCTTCCGTGCCAGGTCAGAAATTTTACTATAAAATAGGCAAATACATGTTAAAGTGAGAATACATCAATATATAAGAATTTTAATTTTACTATAGAATACGCAGACAATAATATCCAAATTATGTTTCTAAATTTAGGATATAATATCCAAATTATATCCCTATATTTTAGGATATAATTAAGCTTCATATCCCAACAAAGTCCCAACAAAGTCCCACTTGAAGACTGATTTCATATTTCACTTCAACAATTTACTTCATCGGCAACGACAGTGCCAAACCTCCTTCACTCATCGAGGCTAATTGAGGTTGAACACAACCTCAATTCCTCTAAAATCACCACTTTAGGCTGTCTTTTAGGATTGCTCATAAATCGGTTCACTACTCCTACTGCAAGTGCTTTCCACTTTCTAAATATATCAAAAGCAGCATATTTACACTTATGGAAATATACCCATACCTCTTTTGTAGCGTCGTCAATGAACGCAATGTAGTACTGTGAGCTTCCAAGGGTCGATACAGAAGCTGGTCCCCACAGGTCCATTTGAACCAACTTCAATTTTCCTTTTCCAGGTCTCTCTCACTCTTTGAGAACGCCACATTTCACTGCTTCCCAAAGATACAGTCCTCGGAAGGATACCATAAATTTGTACTTTTATTTATGGCCACGGAACTGATCCGTTTGCATGGTTTTCGTCATGTAGAGAGTTCCATCTTGTCTCCCTTACGCCACCACAATGAATCATTGAGTTTCATTCCACGACTTAGTTTCAAGAACTGTCGAGTAACCTACCTTATCCAATTGTCTCACGAAAATCAGATTTTGTTTCCGACCCGGGACATACCTCACGTCATTCAGTCTCCACTCCCCACCATTTAGTGTTCTAATTCAAATCATCCTTTTACCTACACTTTTCAGTGTCTCATTATCTGCAAGATAAACAACACTAAAACTACATGTGGTATAGGATTCTATGGTTCCCGAATCACTGCATGAGCGGAATGACGCTCCTGAGACCAAAATCCATGACTCCATTGGAATACTGACGCTCAGAATCAGCACATCGGATATCTCATCCACTTCGTTTTCCGAACCCTGATCCTTCTCCGGCGCCTGCACTGTTGTTTTAAGTCTCTCTAGCAGTTCCAACATATCACATGACTTGCATATTCGTTGTCCTTGTTCTTCGGCTTCAACTTTGACCATTGTTGATCTTCGCCATTTCCCTTTACCTCAGATCTACCCCTATTTTCAGCACTAAGGGAAAATCCAAATCCAAATCCAGTCGAGACATTCTCCAAAAGGGTTAGTCGAACCGCACTCATCGTATTCCCATTGATCTTTTTGTATCCGGCTCCATCCATGTCTTCAGATTTCTCCTTCAACGCTACCTCTAGATTTTTACCATACAGGTAATTTTCTATTTTGCATCTTCCAAAAACCGAAGTTCATTCCATCGAATATCTTGACAGCACGACCATCACCCATCTTGAGTCCACAAACGAACCTAAGGCTTTAACTTGTTATGAGAGCACATCGGATATCTCATCCGCTACATTTGCCGAAACCTTTATCCTTCCCTGTCCACCTTGCACCACCTATCACAAAAGGACCCGCTGCATGACCTACCACAATTTTCGAGACCGACCCAACACCGCCAAGAGACTTTCGACACAAAGCACCTCTGCAGGTCACAAGGAATTCCCACAACCACAACCAATGTCCGATGCCTCCCAATCCACCCTACCAATGAACCAAGCTCTGATACCACTTGTTACGGAAATTCCATAAATTAAAGAAAGGAAAACAAGGACAAAATAACACAAGAATTTGGTAACAAAGTTCGATCATGATGATTTACGTCTGGGAACGCTGCCAAGCCAGACACATGTTAAAGTGAAAATACATGAATTTTTATAGTCTAAGCCTATGACAATAATATCCAAATTATTTCTCTGAATTTAGGATAAAATATCCAAATCATATCCCTAAATTTTTCGAATATAATCAGGCTGCATATCCCAACAATATATAAAAACAATATTACCCTCGTTATTTTTCTCCTCAATCTTCCTTCCAATGGGTTAATTTTCATGCAAAATCAAACCACCTTCGTTGCCCTTCATTCATTCCCAATCGAAACGGATAGAAAACTCAAGGAATCTGGTTGTTGCTAGCTTCAAATGTAATTCAGAGCTCCCTTAGAGGCATGATTACTCTTAAATCTCATTGAATGAAATCTACCACTACAGTCATCTACTACTGTCTGCTGGAGACGATGCTCGAAGCTATTGGACTGGCCACTACCGTTGTCGATCGGTTTGTCAGATGAAAAAGTCGAGCCATTGCCGAAGCTATTGGTTGCCACGGGAATTTGACGCTGAGGTAAAGCTGTTGTGGTTGCCAAGCCCCCAAAAGCTATCTGCTACTGTGTGTGTGCCGCTCAGTTAATAATGAAAATAGCTTCCCAACTTTGAAAGGAAGGAATGTCGATTCACTTCCACGATTCAACATCATCTTGTTCGATTCTTTTTTGGTGAAGGCATAGAGAAAAAAGAAGAAAAAGAACGGAAGTTCCTGCATATGACTTCTATGCATTATTTCATAATTGTAATATGAATGCATTAATGCTAATTACGTCTTAAATGGGGCGGGTTAGTCCCAGACCTGCCCCGGACTCGGTCTTAGTGGGGCAAACTAATTATTGTGACATAATTTTTTTTAAAAAAATAAATTACTAAATAAATATAGTTTGTAATGTTAAATAAATTAATAGAATAAATATAAACTTGTTATATTAATTAAATCTAAACATATACTAGTTTAATTAGATAATTAGATTAAAAATAATTTAATTTGATTTATATAAAAAATTTATTTTTTGAATTTTAATTACATTATAAATTTTTTAAATATAGTAACTAATTTTTTACAATAAAATACACATAAGATAATTTATATACATATAATTGAATATAGATATAATACTCCTTTATCATTCCCTGTAATTTGTCATTTTATAATTTAATAATTTTTTTCATTAATACATTTTGTAATTATTGGATCAACAATATTGGAGATATAATAGTAATTTAAAAATAATAATATTAATAAATCTCTTTTACTTCTCTTTCCCTTTTTCCTTGTAAAAAAAAATTGAACCAAAATAATTTCAACTTTTTTTCCTCCCCCTTCCCTCAATTCCCCTCGATCCTAACAGATCCTAAGGCAATAATACCCATTCCAACGCCCCAATACATCATCAAACCCCTTATTATAAGAAATAAACAAACAAACTGGCTTCCTCATTATTTGCTTGCTGCCCAATCCCAATCCCAATGGCATCATTCATTCAATCGAGGTTGGTTATTTAACTATTCTTTCCTTCACCACTTGCCCAACAACACACCCATGCTCTGCTTTTGTCCTTTGACAACCCTTTTTCACCAAGTTAGCTAGTTACTAGTTATGTAAACAACAACTAATCTTTCCTTCCTTTGTCGTCAAGCTGGCTCATCCTCTACAAGGAAGATGCTCACACACACACACACACAAACAAAGAAAAAGAAAAAAGCAACTACACAGCCAGCCAACATAATAGTAAGTAGTAAATGATCTTAACTCTCTCGTCATCACAAATAATTGTTGGGTATCATATTGCACCACCACTCAATATTATTGGATAGGTGACTGATTGATTGTTAGTAAGTTTAATGCCTTATTGGTTATGTACTTGTAAGAAAACTGACTATAAGAACCAAGAAAAAGAGGCCGCAGAAAATTGAATGTTAAAAAGATGATCATAATGCATAATAGCAGAGGCGGCAACCCATGCATGCCGATAATAATAATAATGTATGATCCAATCCAACGGAATGTCAAAACATTACATCCCAATTTTCGATGAAAGCATTTCAAATAGTTAAAAGAGTTGAGTTGTGATTCATAAGTATGCAGAGAGAGAGAGAGGCATGCATATTGCATTACCTTTCTTTATGTACAGGGTTGGGTTGGAATGCTGCTGCTGTTGGGGTCCAACATCAGTCACTCTGCGGTGGCTGCTGCGACAGTTGAAACCATGGAGTCCACTCCACAAACATTGCGGCCCCGGCAGATCTTGTAGTAGCCTTTCTCTCCCCAGGTCTCTCCCCACGAATTCTTGATAATCCAGTAGGGCTTTTCCTTGAAACGGATGGGCGAATAGGCAGCTGCACCATAGCCAACCAAAAGGACACCATGATCCAACCTTTTTGAGCATATATACGGGCACGAGACTCCTCCAACATAGGTCTGCATGAACACTGCATTGATGGCCACTGCAGCATACAAGAAGAAAATGGAGAGAATTAGTAGCTTCTCTGTAGACAATAATTTACTATTATGTATGGCCGGGTTGTCCATTTTGTTGTCGATGATAGATAGACAGACAGACATGTAGAGATAGAGCAGCAGCATACACCCACCTGCAAGAGGGCCATTCTTGACCATATTTGCTGCGATTTGGTCTTCATCGAGGGACACCACGCTGAAGTTAGCAACCCTGGCAGCAATCTTGCTCTTGTCAAATTTGCAGGCCAGATGATCCCTACCACTGTATGGATAGTCTTCTTCTCGCATGAGCCCCCCAGCTTTAAGCGTGTACTCGAAAGCACTATTCATTAATCCACCGTTGCACCCCGAGTCACATGAATCCTTCTCTTCTGGATCACACTGCAAACAAAAGTATTCAATTTAACACAACTGGTTGACAAAAGTTAGGAGCGGTTTATCACCCTAGTAGTGGACGAGTAGTAAGTCAAAGATAGTTACTTTGTAGAACTCTATATCCATTGTGGTCATCATCAAACCTTAACATCCCCGACACTTCATTAATAGATTCAACAAAATTAAGATAATAATTTAATCAAAACCCAAGCACTGGCCTGAATTTACATAAGAAGCCAGACACAAAATCAACATCAATAAGAGGCAAGTAAGAACATAAGCTAGCTACCTCATGATCACAATCCACAAGCTGCTGTTCGCTGAGAGACACAAGTTTCCCTGTCGCCAGAAAGTTGGCACCTTCCAGCGCTCCTGTTGCGCTAAACGACCAGCATGACCCACATGAGCCCTACAGCGACGTACGTGTATTTAATACCAATCACTCGTACATACTCCAGGCAATCAAATCAACCAACTTTCGTAGTCAAACATATGGAATAATCCTACATATTAACATTCTACATAAACTAAATCTATATATTCAATTCAAGGTATTGAACATCACCAAAATTTCAAAATAAAATAAAATGTAAAAACTGCTCCATATAAAAGAACTAGTATACCAAGAACTGATAGCTAAACTTGTCTGAGAGGTCAAATAATCAATAATCAACACTCGCACAGTAATCAACACTGATACTAAAAAACCAAATCTTAACGCACCTGATTCTTCACCTTCGTAACCGCACCATGATCTCTCCAATCAAAATCCGTCGGTAGATCATTCGTAGGTAAAATAGGCGCCTTCTGAGCGTCGGACGGAAGGCGGAGCCGCCTATTGACGCCAAGGAACTGGCGACGGAACTCACGCGGCGTTAGATCCGAGAATTGCGTTACACCGTGGACGGCAGACGGATCCAGCTTCTGGTGTCGCCTCGCGCGGCGCAGGTTGGCCTTGAAGACCGAGAATCTATAATCGTGCTCCTCCGGTGTAGCGTATGCCCGGGCGAATTTCCTCTTGAAGGTTGTGAAGTGATGAGTGGCGTTCAGCAGCGAGTTCTCGTCAACGGCTCCCTCCTCCCCATGATCAACAACCTGACGGATGAGGAGATCGTCGTTTCCTTCGACATCTCCGGCGAACGAGGATCGAAGCGACGCTGCGAAGAAAAGAGAAAGGAAGAGAAGGGCAAAGCGTGAAGCCATGGCGTCTGCGTGCGTGGGTGACAACAACAATCCCCTTCTCACATACGAGGAACGCTTTATGGGCGTGGGCTTGAAGAAAGCTGAATGAATGGAGTCGGTAGGATGATGACACGTGGATTAATCCAGTTCGTCGAAATAACCGCCTTGCTTCTTGGATTGGTCATCAAAGGTTTTTCTAAAGGCCATGTGCAATGGAATACTCAAGTTGAGTATCGTCTACTCGCTTTTGTTTTTTCATATCATTGTCTTTATCGGTCAAGTAAATACTTTATTCTATATTTTATTTATATAAAGAAACTCATTCTCATTTTTGATTTTTTTTTTTTTCTATATACTTTTTAAAATTATAATTTTATAATTAATCTAAGTTATTATTTTTTCAATTAATACTTTGTTATTTCTTTTAATTTCAATTAATTATATTTATTTTTTAAAAATTTATAATCAAAATAATTTTGAAATATTGTATTTATATTATTATACCTATTATTTGTTATTCTAAACCCTCATATTATTGTGACAATGTGGAGAGAAAGCTCAATCGCTAAAACTATAATTTTTTTACTGAATGACTGAATTTGTAGCTGTAAGTTTGACGAGGCGAAATTTATTTGAGTAAGAATATATATATATATATATACACTAGCATCTAACTTCATCTAACATGTGATCTGCACGAATATTTTAATATTAAATTATATATTTTTTAATTTATAATTTTTATTTATAAATAATAATTATAGTTTTTTTTATATATTGAATATAATTTATTTGTTCTACATGTTCATATTTTTTATTTATGTTAGTCTTACATAATTTTTTTTAATTATTTATTTTCATATCTACGTTTGACGGAGAAAATAATATATTGTGTACAATAGAACTATGAACATAACTAAATTCAAATTCCTTTTTTTCAATAATCAAACAAATTTATGGTATATTTATTCAAATGAAATCTAAATCATATAATAAAAACAATCAAAATAAATAGATGTATATTATAACTTATTATAAAATATAGTTTCAATCAGCTAATTCCATAGATTATAAAAAAAATGAATTAATAATTTTTAATATTAATTGAGATTTAATTTCAAATTTAATTATATATTACTTTTGTCGAGCCATAATATATACAGTTATTTTTATATAAATATAATACAAATTAAAAAAAAAAATGGCAAAAATATCGCTATTAGTTTTTTATAATACAAGTACAATAATATTTATGGAGTAAATTATACAATTATAAAAATATTTTTAATATCAAGTATAATATCGCAAAACAATTGTATATTTAAAACATACAAATATATTTTATTTGTCTCTTAACAAACTATCCATATTTCCATTTTGCTCAACAAAGTATCTGTTTCTTTTTTAGTAATTGTACTATCTACCTAACCTTATAAGTACACTTTCAATTTACAATATATTACATAAATGTTATTGCTTTTATATTATATCATACTAATAAGGTTAATTTAGAAACGGTCTGATGTGATCAATTTTTCGTAGGGATATTGAATAATTACAGATAAACGATTTGTGTGGGACAAGGTAATCATGAAACCTTGACCAAATAACATCAAAGGTCTTGGTTTCAGAAGATGAATGTTGAGATGAAGTGGCTAAGGGTCTAGGATAACGATTGGCTTTCCACTAGAACCAGCCACCAAACCAGGAAATAAGATGGACAAGCGTGTGGACCGATGGACATAGCAGGATAGCAAATTACAAATTTTGTCTTCGGTAGGTCTTTGAAGTGTTACCGGTGGGTCTGTCTGTAGTAAGCACAAGTTCCATATAGTACTTCTCAATACAATTTCCTTTTACTTTTTTTAGTCTTTTTTACTTTTGTTTGTACTATCTAAATATAATATTAATATTTTTAACACTCTATGGAAAAAACAAACGGATAAATATATATGAAAATATAACTTATCTTTCATCTATAACACAAAATATACAAATATATAACAATCAAAAGAAGCCCTACGGTCCAATACATCTAGCCCAGTAAACTTTATGACACAAAAATTATAATTTTATAATAATAAAAAAAATATATCAAACTTCCATCTAAACAAAATTAAATAATTGTTATATACATATGAGCTACGTATATATATATATGTGGATGCTACGTGGATGTTTTGTTGATGAACATGATTTTTATTGTTAGCTAAATTTTTTCTACTGTAAGCATAACGGTTTGTGTATATATATCTCATCAGCTGTGAATAATAATGTGGTGGAAAAATTCATTCAACATCCCTGTTCATTTCTCTCACATCTATCAACCTTGCATTTATTACACCTACATATACATACATCACTTCATACATCTATCTAATATATATACAATATTTATACACACAGCACGTCCACACATACATACATAAATATACGTATTAATACTGATCAACTTATATATTTTATTTATTATATAAAATGTTATCAGCACGAAGATTCTTACCTATTTTATTTTTGATAAGTATTATTTTTATTCTATCTATATTATTTATTTTTAAAACTATGGAAAACCTTACAAAATTTTCTCTTAAACCTCTGTCTCTCCAGCAATAATTTTATGACTTGGTCCCCGGATGTAGAAATGAATCTGGTTTCTATGGACCTTACTCATACAATTGCTTATGTAAATGCGGCTACAAGCCAAGATTGGGCTAAGGCTATTATTTTCATTTGTCACCATCTGAACATTCATTTACAGTCCGAATATTTGACGGTAAAAGATTCACTTGATTTATAGATGAATTGAGGGAGAGATTTAGGCACTTGAAATATATCACTCTCCCTAAAGCCCGACATGATTGGCTTAACCTGCATTTACGGGATTTTAAAACTGTTACAGAGTACAACTCTGCTATCCATCAGATTACATCTCAGTTGAAATATGCGGAGAAAATGTTACTGAGAATGATAAATTTGAAAAAACTCGCTTTGCCTTTCATGCTTCTAATGTTATACTGCAACAGCAGTATCGTGACAAAATTTTTCAAAAGTACTCACAACTTATAGCATGTCTTTTATTAGCTGAGCAAAATAATGAATTATTGATGAAAATCATCAGTCCCGACCAATTGGTTTCAGTCCGTTCCCTGAAGTGAACCTTACATTTTCTGAACGAGTCCAAGGACGTGGTATAGGCCGTGGACGTAATCGCGGTCATGAGAGTTAACGCGGTTGATATACCTCTTACAATCACCGCAGTTTTGATATTAACAAGAAGTAGAGTAAACCTCAATATGGAGATATAGCCAAAAAGGCTAAACGGGAAAAGAAGCAAATCAGCATTTGTAATAGGTGTGACATTGGAGGCCATTGGGCCAATACCTGCAGAACAGCCAAACACCTAACCGATCTTTATCAAGCCTCACTGCAGAAAAAGGGGAAGGGGGTCGAGATTAATCACGTTGATAATGATGGCGACCCCGATGATGATATTCTAGATTACGACACAACGCATCTTGATATAGCGGATTTTGTCGTAGATCCAGCAAATCCTCACTGACAGACATACTATGTCATTTTACATTATGCCATTTTATATTTTGTAATATTTAAATTATTGCATATTAACTTTTTGTAATGCATTTTGTAATATTTATATTTGTCTTTATTAATACTGCGTTTATTTATATTTGAAGGTTTAATGGATTCCAATCAAGATGATGCAAATATGTGTTTTATTGACAGTGCATCGATACATACTATATTGAAACACGAAAAATATTTCTCCTATTTGAAAATGGAAAGAATGAATGTCAATACAAGAAGTGGCAGTGTAAATTTAATCGAAGGCTCTGGAGAAGCCATTATATTTCTCCCCGGAGGACAAAAATTGTGATACAGTATGCACTGTTGGCCACTAAAGCTTGAAGAAATTTACTGAGTTTTCATGACATCGGAAAAATGGTTATCTCATTGAAACTATGAGTGATACTGATGGTGAATTTTTATTGATCACCAATATCATTGATAAAAAGAAATACATCATTGAGAGATTACCATCACTCTCTACTGGCTTATATTATGCCATATTAGGTTATTGTTTAAACACACCTCACGGTAGATCAAAAGAATACCGATTTTCAAATATGACATGATCGCCTTGGGCATCCTGAAAGTATAATGATGAGACGAATAATTGAGAATTCGCATGACCATTCATTAAAAGATCAAAAAATGTTAAACTTAAATGAGTTAACCTGTGTTGCCTACACTTAGGGAAAATTGATAACTAGACCATCGCCAGCTAAAATAGCTATTGAATCACCTACATTTTTTGAAAGAATACACTTGGATATATGTGAACCAATAGACCTACCATATGGGTCATCTAAATATTTTATGGTGATTAATGATACATCTACCAGATGGTCACATGTCTATTTATTATCGACTCATAATATGACATTTGTGAGATTGCTTGCCCAAATTATTAAATTGTAGACATAGGTCCCCGATAATCCAATTAAGACTATACATCTGGAGAATACTGGTGAATATACATAAAATACATTTGATGATTATTGCATGTCGATTAGAATCAATGTAGAGCACCCAGTTGCTCATGTTCATAAACAAAATGGCATGACATAATTACTTATTAAAAAATTGCAATTGATTTCTAGATCATTATTGATGAGGTCTATGTTGTCCGTTTCAGCTTGGGGGCATACAATCTTACATGCAGGAACACTCATAAGAATGAGACTGACAAACTATCATAGCTATTCTCATATGCAATTAGTATTTGGTCACGAACCAAATATATCTCATCTACGTATTTTTGGGTGTGCTGTATATGTTCCTATTTCACCCCCAAAACGTACAAAAATGGGTCCCCAACGTAGATTGAAAATTTATGTCGGATATGAATCACCGTCAATTATAAAATATCTTGAAACTATGACGGGTGATTTATTCATTGTAAGATTTGCAAATTATCATTTTGACGAATCATATTTTTCTGACATTAGGAGGAGACAAAAATGAACCAAAAAGAATATTAATTGGAAAATCCCATTGAATTTTTATGATCCTCGTACAAAGTAGTGTGAACTAGAAGTTCAAAGCATTATACATTTTCAAAATATTGCAAATCAGTTAAAGGATATATTCAATGACTCGAGTAAAGTCACTCGATCATATATTCAAGTTGCTAATGCTCCGACTAAAATAATTGTCCATGATGGACAAATTGCAAGTGCTAATGAATCAGTGACACGCTTAAAGCGTAGTAGACCACTTGGTTCCAAAGACAAACATCCTCGAAAAAAAAGAGGAATGAATTATGATAATTATGAAAATATCAGGATTGACATTGATACACCTCAATTTATTGAGGAAGCCAACCATGAAATACTTGCTCCAGAAGAGCAGGATCTTGAAAAACATGATGAGACTATTGAAAACTCAATTAACTATGTTACTTCAAGAAAATGTTGGAACCGTAAAGAGGCAATTATTGATAATGCCTTCGCATACAGTTTAGCACTTGATATAATGGAAGAAAATAAAAATTCAGAGCCAAAATCGGTTCACAAATGTGAGCAAAGAAATGATTGGCCAAAATGAAAAAATGCGATTCAATCATAGCTTGACTCATTAAACAAAAAAGAGGTCTTTGGATCAATTGTTCAAACACCAAATGGTATAAAACCGGTTGGATACAAATTGGGTGTTTGTACAAAAAAGAAATGAGTATAATGAAATTGTGAGATATAAAGTCCGTCTTGTAGCTCAGGGATACTCACAAAGATCTGGAGTAAATTTTGATGAAATATACTCTCCTTGTCGATGGAATAACATTTAGATACTTTCTGAGCCTAGCAGTGAGAGAAAAACTCGACATGCGTCTTCTAGACGTAATTACTGCATATTTTTATGACTCATTGGATACTGATATTTATACGAGATTTCTTGAGGGATTTCAAGAAACAGTGTACTACATATCACAAGCAACGGATGAAATTGATATGTAGTTTCAAAATCAAATCAGAAACATATTTATTTTCGTCTAATTCAAATTTAGATATTTATCCGGACAACTTAAAGTGCAAAAGTATTTTTAATCGATTATTATAGAACTTAATTCCCCCAAAATTATTCAAAATCAAAGAGAAAATTTTCTCAAAATTCAGGATCGGATCTTGATCAAGAAGATTCCATAAAGTAACTATCAAGATTAAAATTCAAAATATTCTTGAACAAAGAATCAAATTGCATCTTGATCAGAAATTGGAAAGAGGAAATATTAAAGCAAGGTAGATGCAAAATTAATTATGATACCAAATGTTAGCAATAATCAAAATTTTATACGTTGATTTAAACATTAAACTATGAACATGCTTAAATTGAGTTAAATTTAACGGAAGCAAATACAACAATTAGATTAAATTAACCTCTAACAATTATTTCAAAATTGATTTTGAATCTCGAATCCCTTCTTAAAAAAAAAAAGAAGTTAAACTCCAAGAAGACGTTGTCAAACTTCGCTCTCAAACACGATGGTGTATTTTAACTTCTGAGAGTAAATTTTGTAACCTCTATATGAAATTACTTATATAATCAAAAATAAAAAAATCGTCAATCATGATTTTCTATCATTTCTCACGTAAATTTGATAGACTTAATAAAAAGAAGAAAAAATAATCAAATGTATATATATATTAAACATTAAACTTAACTTTGATTAATTAATTAATTAAACTAACATGTTAAAGAGGACGAAGGCGAAGCGGAAGCCGCGGCTGGTGGAGACCTCCGGCAAGATAGAGAAAATGAAATTAGTGAAAAACGATATTGTCACGGCGGTGGAATTCACCGGTGATTTGAAAGGGATTCAGAGCGGGTAGAAAACATAGCCGATAAAGAATTGGCTAAAATTGTTAATGACACAAAGCACCTGTGGCTCAAGATGGGCGCTATCAGTGAGGGTTAGATTCAACGTGCCGCCGCATGCGATAACCAAGAATGAGTTGAAGGCAAAATTGAAAGCTTGAACTGGAGCGTGTAACTGTAGGATCAGTAGAAAAATCACGAGCATCTTCTTGAAGATGAATCTACGTGTGTCTGACCATCAAACCATCAGAGAGCAACAGATTTTGACATATGATCGTGAGGTTTTAATTATAAGTACACGGCCGTATACACACTACAAAAAAAATAGTATATTTGTAACGGAATTATATTTCTAAAGTTCACGTAGCTAACGTAATTTCATTACTAATTCTGTCTCTAATATCATTAGTAACAGAAAAAATAAATTTAGAGACTAAAAACCCTTGTTAAAAAATTGATATTTTCTTGTAGTGACAATTGAACATGACTGTGTTGTTTGATTTGACTGGTGTTGGCTATGACAACACGGACGTGTTATATCCAGCTTAGCTGCCACATCAATTATGTTATTTTCACGCCAGTAATTTTCATTGATTTTTAACGGAATACATGGTTCCAAACTAATACTTGACATGTACCACCTCTTCCAGATCCATCACAAGGAAAATGAAAATAAAAATGAAAAAATTTTTTGTCTAAAATTGATTAAAATTATTTACAATGAAACTAAAACTGATTTGTATATTGGAAACAAAATTGATCCATTTTTGAGAAAATGTGTTATTTTTGGGAAAAACAACAAAGCCTTACTTTTTTTTTATTGAAAAATGTCCTCTCATTCCCATAAAAATGATAATATCTTTCATTTTTTTTTTTTTCTCAAAATAGATGTATCATTTTTTAATTTAGTAATTTAATGTCTAACTAACATAATTAATACCTTTACTGCTTTAACATATTGCATCATTACTTTTATATTACAAAATCTAATAAGAACATTTTTATCTTTTTCACTATAAACTAATATAATATTAAATTAAAAATCAACGTACAACAAACAAATATGACTGATTTTATCGAATTGAAATAGTATTACATTTATATTTTACTTTTACTAAAACATGACAGAGATAGTATTATTAAATAATGTATAGAAATTTCATGTTATATTAATGTAATTATATATAAAAAAATTATTTATGTTTTTAACTTTTGTGTTTCAAAGAGACAAATGTTTAATATATTAATAAAAAATAACTATCAAAATATTAATTATATTTAAAGAAAATTATAGTCTATTCCGGTATAAATATATAAGTACACAGTCTTCTAAATTAAAATTATAATAGAATGTATATTTATTTTATCTTCTAAATTAAAATTATAATAGAATGTATATTTATTTTAATGGTACGGACATTTGTTCAGTAGTGCTCCCTCCGTCCCATAAGGGATGAGCCTTTTTATTAAGAATACTGATTTTTAGACCGTATAAATTAATAAGTTATTAATAATAAATTCTGATATTAGTTTATTATTTTTTATATGAATAATATTATTGGTATTTTAAAAAATTTCAAAATTTGAACCCTTTTATTAGGAATACGGTTTTTTAGATCGTATAAATTAATAAGTTATTAATAATAAATTCTGATATTAATTTATTAATTTTTATATGAATAATATTATTGGTATTTTAAAAAAATTTAAGATTATATCTCAAAAAAATATATGCAATATAAATATTATTTTGTAAATAATAAAATTTTATATAATAAAAATAAAGAAAAAAAAATATTTTTATTTATTTATCATTACCATAAATTAGTTTTATAAAAAATGAAAATTTTAAATATAAATAAAAAATTTATATTAATTGAAGAGAAAGATAGGAATAAAAAAGTCTTGAGTGGATCCAAATTTAATTAAATTGATTTATGCTTGCTAAGTATTTTTAAGACTGATAAAGTTACCACAAATGGACATTTTTGTGGAACTGACAAAAAAAAAAATAGATCATCTGTGGCGGGACAGAGAGGAGGGAGCATATTACGTATTTATTGATAATTTTTTATGAATAATATAATATATAATTCAAAATAGTATTATATTTTAACTAACTAAATGCTAGAATATATAAACACTATAATAAATTCAAAATATTTTTTTATTTGTTTTTTGGAATTTATTTTTAAATTTTATTTAAATAACACGGTGCACAACTAGTATCAATTATTAAGAAATAAATGAAAATTCATGTTCATGTTGGGAGATAATGTTATGAATCAGATCGGAGATGGAATATTTAATTTCACCTCATGCCCTCCTTCCCTACACAGAAAAATCTTACAAAAAAAATGTAAGTTGAGAATGGGGGAGGGTTTGGGCAAACCTGAGTTTATTTGATTGATAGCCAGCCAACAAAAAATGATGGAAAATTATGCGGCAACCTTCTTGGAAGTAACGGAGTTAATGATGGTGGCAAACTCAGGACCCTGAGATCAACAAAAGCAAGGCATTCCTTAGGTTTTGTTCTTTCTAATTTTTTTTTACCCACGATATTTTCAAAACAAATAATACACTATACACATTCATTATTTTTATATACCCTACACGATGACTGTAAACATACGATGGATCATATACTGTAAAAGTACGGTGGATATCAAGAAATGTTCACACCTTTAGGGAAGCACCTCCCACAAGAAACCCATCGATATCTTCTTGTTTTGCAAGCTCAGAACAATTGCTTCCATTGACAGAACCTGGGGGAATTTGCGCAACTAACTTGTATAATGTTTGACTACTAATGACTGACTATCGGAAGTCTAGCATGGAAAATAGAGAAAAATCATTGAAAAGTTGGAAATGAAATAAACACATACCTCCGTAGATAATACGGGTCTTTGAAGCCACATCTGCAGAGACATTCTTGCTCAGCCAATCCCGAACTGAAGCATGCACCTCCTGAGCCTGTTGTGGCGTCGCCACTTTACCAGTTCCAATAGCCCACACGGGCTCGTACGCAATAACAATTTTGTCCCAGCTTGGGACAGTATCTGTACATAACGGGATAAATGATTAATTTCAAATGTTAAATGTTATTACAATGACGGGGTGGCTGTCTGTTGTAACTAAACTTGCCAGCAAAAGCCTTCAGCTGATGGAAACAAACATCAAAAGTCTTTCCGGCTTCTCTTTCTTCTAGTAATTCTCCAATACAGGCAATTACTCCGAGACCTTCATTCAAAGCATATGCAGCCTTCTTCCCAATAAACTGCACATGCCCATTTTTAAAGCAGTCACCAAATGCTTCTGTTTTTTACTAATGATCTGATCAAATCAGAAATGAAGGAAATTGGTGGAATGTTGAGTAGAGTATTTCTCCCATGGAGTACTCTACAATTTGAAAAGTCATAATAAAAATAAATAAATAACTACAGATGCTCCTCTCCACTCCCCCGGGGTGATTTCATGGTTAATTTAAAACACAAAAGACATTCTAAACATGAATGTTGTAAAGATACAGATTTGGAGTTGCTTTTAAATTGTTTTTTTAAGCAACTTGAAGCAGATGCAGGAAGTTTCTAAACATTCAAACTCTTTCTTTGAATAGGAGGAAAGAGTGAGTGTTTCAAGCATTCACAACAATTTTCTCAAAATGTAAAGAAAAAGAAAATTCAACATTAAAATTCAAAAAAAAAAAGGGTTCATTTGCTCTTACTTGATCATCTTCACCAATTACATGTCTCCGCTCTGAGTGCCCCAGAACAACCCATTTGCATCCAATATCTCTCAACTGCTCAACACTGTTTGATAAAATATGATATGTATTTTCGAAATTTATTAATCACATCATATTGATTTAGAATAAAGGAACAAACACTTGCAGATCAAATGCTTTGAATTTGAACAAGTGTAATAAGATCAGGTCAAAAAAATACTCAACCTATACAAAAAAAGGAACCTAAAAAACAAAACCACCAAATTATCAAAATATCAGGCACAACAAAAACCAAAGATGTGAAAAACTTAACTAAATGTATCCATTAAGACAGACAAGTTAAGGAAATTAGAAGTAATGAATTTGAGATGCATTCCTTCAAATAATTCCATTCAAATGATCTTTAAATCAAAAGCATTTGTTACTATCAATTAATCCAGCAATCACCATTGCCAAACCTACCTGATCTCCCCAGTAAAAGCACCACCTTTTCCACTCCAACAATTCTGAGAAGATATTTCTATCCGATCAGATAAAGTGCTCTTTACTTGGTCGATGTAGACAAATGGAGGCGCCACAACAACATCTGGAATGAAGGTTTAAAATGCATAGGGAGAAATCAAAACATTGCACAACAATGAAATTACAGGCTAATAGGAATAGCATAACTCACCAACATCAGGCTCCAACGCTGCTCCGTTTAAGTCAGAAACAAGCTTGCTTATGGATTCCTTAGTACCATTCTGATTACAAATTTATAACCATAGAACAAAAGAGAATCTAAACAAACACATGAACAGTAAATGCTTTTCATTCAAAGAATTCTCTCTGGCGAAGAAATTGTAATTTTAACACTAAGAAATAGGATATTCGTCGAAGAATTGAGATACATACACATTTCCAATTGCCGCCGACAAAGAACTGCAATATACAAAAGCAAGATGAATTCGTCACCGAGTAAAAACATAGACTTCAATTAAATTAAAAGAAAAAGGATTTATACATTTTCCATGGAGAGGAAATCAAATTGAGATCTGAAACATAAACGGAGCAAACCTTTCCAGATCCTGCCATAGTTGCGACGCCGCGGGAGCCTTTATTCGAGGAGGTGAGTTGAAGATTGGAATTAACGTGGTGAAACAGCTTGTGAGTTGAGTCGGAGAGAGAGGTGTCGAGTTTGAGGAAGGACTTCCGTAGGCCGGAGAACTGAGTAAAGTGACAAGGAACGAGGCCGGCGCCGCTCAAAGAGGAGGTGGATACGACTGCCATGGCTAGATTCTCCTGTTCGCGTTCGCCGGTCAAATATCAACCGTGATATCGTCATAATGGGTCTCCATTTATATATTAATTATTATTATTTAATTAGAGAACGGCGTCGTTTGGTAATATCGAGGCAAAATGGTTTTCACCTACTACAGCCTTGTCCCACGCACGTGTGAGACATGATTCGCACGCCCTATGGTACTTGAATTTAACGGCAGCAATGATAATTGATAAAAATAGTAATTTTGTTGACTTGTTTACTCTTGACAAAATTATTTGTAATTCATTTAGTTTCAAAAGTTTTTAATTATTTTTTTATAATTTAATAATTAAATGAGATTTGTTTTGTATTTTCAAACTATTGAACAAAATTCATTTTAGAAAATTTTTTGTAATAGTTTCAAAAACAAAAAAAAATTCTTTCAAATTTTAAAGAATTTTATACCAGTAAAGTAAAAAATTTATTACAAACAGTTAAAAAGTCAAATATTCAATTATAGTAATACTTTACTTTTCAAGTCAAAGTATTATTTTTACCATTAGTTCCTGTCACTCAAAAGTATCATTTTTCTATTTTAATAAAATTAATCATACACTAATACTAAAATATAATTATAAATATACAATTATACATACAATTATTTTATACATAAAATTAAAATTAAATGGCAAAATTTTCAAATATTTTATATACTTCCATTTACCAATAAAATATTATTATTTATAAATTTACTACCAAATTGCAAATGGGTACATTCATTCAGGAAGGATGGAGTATATTTTGGGTGCCTTTGACAATTAGTTGATAATTGTTAGGTGATTCAGTTAGTTGTTAGGTGATTAACTGATTCAATTACTTGTTTATATTAAAATATTTAGTAAAACAACTGTTTCATATTAATTGGTTATACGATAAAATGACAATTAAAGACAATTATATATTATTTTTCAAAATATTTAATTTTATTCATTTTGATTTTAAATTTTTGAGAATTTTGTCATTAATTATTGAAAATTATAAAAATATTATAAAATATTTATTTTTATTTTTTTTATTTGAAAAAATATTTTAATTAAAAATAATAATTATTTTTTATTGAAATTATGGAAAATATGAAATAATAAATATTTGTTATATATATTTTTATTATGTTAATTATTATTTATTCATTTTTAATATAAAAATAATAAAATGTATATAAATAAATTAATAATGTTTGCCTTTTTATTTTATTTAATTTTAATATATATTTTACAAATAAAATAATTTGTATGTAATAATTAATAATAATTATTATTTTAAATTTAAAAAATTAACTTATATTTTTAATAAATTAAATATATTAAAAATAATTAATAAATATTCCAATGAAAATATATTTATATGTATAAAAGAAATAATTAATTTTTAAGTGTAGATAAAGGAATAAATAAAATTAAAGTGAAAAACTCTTCTAAAAGGCTCGATAGATTAGCTTTCAAAAATTAACTTTTTGGTCCAAAAAGCTCTTTCAAAAAATTAATTTACCACAAGTAAATTAGTTTTTTTGACCTCTCAAATATCTATAAAAGCTGTTAATAAGCTAAAAACTAATAAAAAAAGCTATTTCCCAACACCTCTTTATATTCTTGACACATTTTTTTATACCACAAATCAAAAATCATTTTTTTAAAAAAATTTCAATATTTTCCAAAATATGAAGCCTCGTCCAATTTCTAAATCATAAGGGAGTATCGTGTCAACTTTTCACCCTATAAATGAATTATATACAATTTTGTCTTAATTCTTTTATAATTTTTGTACTATTTAATTACTCCATTTTTTAAAATATTAATATTCTCCTATTTTCACTGAAAATATTTTTTATTATTTGCTTATATCTCACTCAATGTATCTTATTTTTTACTCTATTATATTAAAAGTAATTATACTAATATCAATATAACATTTAACTTTTATAAAAATTACAAATATATTATTACATACTATATCCATTCCATTCTCATGTTCACCTTTTTATGTTCACCTTTTTATGTCGGTCTCATTTATTTTGTTATTTTTTTTAAAAAAAATAAAATTATACACTTTAACCTTATTTTTATAATAAGGTATGTGAGGTGTTTAATAGCAAAAGTTGTGGAGACAACCTTGCCACAACAACTTAAGTATTCTTGGATGTTAGCATTCTTTTAGGGTGTGTTTGTCTGCGGTCATCCCAATTTTTTTTCTCCAAAAACATCAAATCAAATACCTATTTTTTATTTTTTATATTATATTAAAAATTAATTTTACATTCAAAACATCACATCAACATCTATTTATATCACATCATACAACTATTTAAATTCAAAATTTTTATTATTCAAATCCCAACTCAAAATCCAAACCTCCAAAAATATTAATTGAATGCAGCATTTGTCCATTGTTTCGATGCCTATGCATTTTACTTTTGTGCCTGGGTGTGTTCGTTTGGGAAAATTCCTCAAAATTTTACTATTTATAAATTCTTTTCCCAAAAAATATCAAACAAATATTAATTTTTATTTTTTATATTATACTAAAAATTAATTTTATATTCAAAATATCACATCGATACCTATCATCTATTTACATCAGTCATACAACTATTACAATTCAAATTTTTTACTATTCAAATCTCAATTCAAAATTCAAACTCTCAAACACAACTCACCCTAATTTTTATCCCACACTTTATCTAATCATATAACTCAAATAAAACCTATTTTTCAAATTATAATACTTAATATTACTTATCTAAATTCTCATACCGAAAATAAATATTACATCATACTTGAGCCGGAGAAAGTACTATTTAAGCTCGCCGTTTCCCCGGACAAATTATTTTTTCCTTCTATAAATTATCATGCTAAAAGTTTTTTTAATCAAAACCCAAAACTTCAAACCAGTCTAGATGAAATAAAATAAAATAAAATAAATCACTCAATTCTTATAGAATAGAAAAGAAATCTAAGCCAACGTTTAAATCTTTAAATTCCATTGCATTTAATGATAGAAAGGGCAGAAGTTCTCAAGAACAATCCGAGACATATAAAACCCAAACTTAAATGCCTCTCTTTTTTTTTTTTTTTTTTTTACCAACACGCATGCACACTCACGCACCCAACGGGGATTTCCCCCAATAAGCATGACGCACCTACCCGGGATTGAACCACACGTAGCCCTCAAGCAAGAGATGTTATACCACTTGATACTATTTTAATTTTCTCCTAAAATCACATAGAAGTATCTAGAACAATTTCTGACTGATTTTACCAATCAAAGGTAGCAAAAATTTTACAATCAAGAATCGAGCAAAGAATATTCCAATAAAATCAATGTACACACGATCAATAACAAACAGAAATTCAGCAAAGGTTATCCAAATCCCAAACAGATTAATATCGACCAGCAGGCCATAAGGAAACCCAAATCACATATCAAGGAAAGTGAAAATCAAACCAGAATTATGAAATCATGTTCAACTAGAACAACAAATTCATAGCCTGAATTATTGTTTGTACCTCTCATGCGGAGAATTTCAAGAACTCCCAAGAAATGTAACACGAAAACTATCAACAATTGTGGCTGACCGATGACGGAAGATAAAGAAGGGTATGTAAGGCAAGAACAAGGTGGGTTTGTGTGATTGACAAAGAAGTCATATTGGGTAACAGATCATTTTTGGGCTAATGAATTTTCAAACTCAGGTCTATGAGAATAGCTAAATCTAAATTTTCACCTAATTTAGGTGAGTTTAATTAGTTAAGCTTCCGTTTAACACAGATTGGGAATGATTAATGACATGTACAAAAGTTAAACAAAATTATGTAGTACTAAAATGAACAAGGATTCATTTTATTACTTGTCCTAAAACTGACCAACCAGCCATCCCAATAAACTTTTCATAGTTACGCCATCATTAACCATATTCCCAGTCATATTTTTCATTACATGACATTTCATAATAAAATTATCGAATCATGGTCCACAAAAACACATTGTTTGACATGTCCAGAATTATAAGCAAACAAATATGTGCGTCAAACAGCACTGGAATGGCTTTGTAAAAGCATAGATCAGTATAAAAAATTTACAAAATAAATATATTACAGCAAATTAATTAAGCAATGTCTTAAGAGGACCGGATTTGATTTATGGAACAACCTAGCCAAGGTTTGATCGTGGGCATGGTAATATTCTCTCAGGTAACAGAAATGATCAATTTTGTTTAGAGCAAGCTTGTATATCTAATCACGGTAATGAAATCAGCATGGACAATTGCACTTTCATATAATAGCGACGATCAGAGCTAGAAAGTGGATAAATAACATAGATACAGATTGGTGCAACAGTGAAGGAGTATGTACCTCCTTTCTTACTCGTCTACTTTTTTGCTGCTGCTTATGCTGGTGGATGAGATAGCCTGCACACTTTGAGTCGATGAACACCCACTAGATGAGCAGCTTCCATCAGTAAGACTTGTTTCCTTTCGAGCAATTTTCTTGGCTTTTCTTTGGTTTGATGAAGAATCCTGCATCTCAATTGTTAATTCTACGTGCTTGAAAATCTGCAAGGCAAACTTATGTGAAATATTTATTCACCTGTTCCGATGCGGATCCTGGTGTTTTAAGCTCTAGATCTGTTGTAATCTCATTCATCTCATCGCTTTTCTCCACCCGGCTCTCTCCATCTGAAGCTTTGTTTCTACGATCCTGTTTGCTTGGAGTATGTGCTTGGGGGCCTTGTTGCACGCCTCGAGACACAGGCTGCGCTGGCTGTGGTTCTGTCATGGTATTGTGGGTCATATAAGGAATGTAAGTGGAATGGGGATTTGGAACAACAGCTGGGTTTTGGTTCCCATAGAATGGGTAAGGTTGTAACGACGGATGCAAGGGAATCGGTCCGGGGGGCATGGGGACCGGCATTGGATAGGGATAAGAAGGCGGATGCATGACAACAGAATGAGAATGATCCATTCCAGACCATGGATACATGGCCCTCACCCGTTGTAGGTACTGGGCATTAAGGCTCTCGATATCGGATTTTAGAGTTGCCTTTTCTTCCCTGAGATCATTCTTTTCCTGTGTCAACTGCTTTAAATATACGAACGAGGTATAAACTGGTGAAACTTTGTATTGAATAGCATTATCATGATACAGAAACCCTTCAAAAGAATCACCTCGCGAGACTCTTCAGTGAGTGCTGCATGCTCAGACTTTAGTCTATCTACCTGAGCAGTCAAATCCTTAAGCATTTGTATCGTGTCAGTGAGGATAGAAGCTTTGTCATTTTTAGGCCTATCTGGGTCTGCAATGAGTGGAAATAACCAATCAGATTTTCCACATTTCCAAACATAAAGACTAAAGGGTGACAACAAAGATCAAGCATAAAATATAAGGAGATGTGGAATTTGATTGGAAAATTTTACAAAATGATTAATCATAGACTATATATTTTTCTGAAAGGTACTAACAACAAACAATTAATCAAATAAAACTTGACAACATTTACGATGCCATTATCATTTTTCTCCAACAAAGAGCGCTGAATACTGACATAAAAGCCCTCCTGATGCTCTAGAGGATGAGATGTAGCTCCTGCAAGTATTGTTCAAGTAACTTACATATTCAGTTGATATACCACTAGTAAACCTAGCACGAGTTTCATTAGTCTGACGTTCAAACTAGCTTATAAGCTCCTTAAGCCACTAATCAAACCAACCTACAGTCTACAGATTATGCTAAGAGTTGTGTCATACTTAGTAGTGTCAAGTGTGTTTGTAATATAGAGTTTAAGCAATGAAAAGAATAAAGAAGGGTCATGGTGAGGAATAATAAAAGGACTCGAAAGAATTTCTATAGGAATTTGAAAATTTTGGCAAGCATTTGACATATAACCATTACTGCTGTTAACATTTTATAAGCACAAAAGTTAGCCATGCAAACACTTGGAATCACGATCAAGTATTTAGAAGCCCCAAAAACATTCCAAATGAACAAACTCATTCGACCTTTAAATTAGGAAGGTTGCTTCAAAGTCAGTTAAAAGATTACCAGTATGATGTGCTCACACAAAATCAAAATTTATGCTGCTTCACAGTAACGTGTAAGCAAAATGTCAGCTTACCAAGAGCATTTCCCAACTCCATGAATTGTTCATTTAGACGATCCCTTCTCAGTTTCTCCCTGTCTGCTTTTTGAACTTTCCTTGCAACAACAGAGTCCTTTGTCTCTACTTCCAACCTTGAAACCAACACATAATAACATCAAGAATATGGAACCTCAATCAGAGCACTGAAACAACTAAACTATTAGCTTTTATGCAATCTACAGCTCTTAGGCACCAAACTTAGCAAACTGTATGTGGCTAAAGTAAATTAACTCCAATAACTACACTAATTTCTTGTATAATGCATATTCTCTACAATTTTTATTTATGCAACATCTCATACACCTTCTCAAATTACAAATAACACCTAATTTTGAGTTTATTATAACATTCACATCCAAAAAAACACGATATTAAATTATTAACTACATTAGTACATAAACATGGTATTGAATAATTTGAAATTTGGCAATAATCTAAAATTTTCAATGAAGACATTATTATAGATAATTAACTCAGTAAGAGGTAGATTAAATATAAAAATAAAAGATAAAAGAAAGAACAATAGATAAAAATTAGAATAGTTATATGTTGCGGAGTAATCCTGCACCATTTTCGGCGCAGGGGTGTTCATGTTGCACCAGTAACAGTGCAAAAATGGCGTTGGTGGGTCTTTTTTAACCCAAGACATTGAAGAAGGCCTTAAAAAATTATATACACTAACATCTGATCTATAAGGAATCGCATACTTAGCTCAACAATTATCTCGCATTTCTCTAAATACGTCAATATCAATTTGGCTCAAGTATAATTCAACTCGACAAAATTAATCTACTTATTCTACATATAAATGTGAGAAACCTCTAACTATTTTCGATTGAGAGATTACTATTTGGAACTCGAATTCTTCTTCACTTCATCGACACCAAATAGAAAAAATCCTTTATTTCAACGTACGCGACGTCAATTGAATAAAAAGTGCCCAAATTTCCAACAATTAGTAAGCCCTTGATTCTGCAAATGTTAAATTCCAACAACACAGATAAGATGATGATTCAGATCTTTCGGACCTGCAATCGGGAGTCGAACGAGTTAAAGGGACGCGAACATCACCCGACGACTGCATACTATTCGAGTTCTGCAAGGGTTGAAACAGCGAATCGGGATTCAATTGATCCATGGCCAATACCTGAAGAACCCACCTATCGTCCGTCGATTGAAAGCAAGGAATTAGGGGATATCTCCACCTCCAGACGGCGTCGTATCGCTTCGTAGGGGCCTACGGCTGTATATTAAATGCTACTTTAGGGTCTATTGACTATTTTTTATTATAGATTTTAATATAATAATATTGGTAAGTTATTGTTATATAAAAAAAAGGTACTCTATTTGTCCTAAGTAATTTGTCCTATTTTTTATTTTTGTCCGTTTCATATAATTTGTCTTTTTTATTTTTGAAAATATAATTATGTACTTTAATTGCATTTTAAATTTTATAATTTTCTTAATTTTAATTAAATTATTTACTTATCATAATCTTAATTTATAATTATTTTTACTAAATAATAATTATTTTTACTAATACACTTCTTAATTACTTACTAATTATACTTTACCTAAATTATCGTGTCTACAGTAATACACTCATATTAAATGGGACGGAGGGAGTATAATATATATGGGTGAGTATATAAATATAGGCTAAATTGAACAAAATTTATGTGTGATTTTACGAAATTGCGTCAAATTTTTCGTATTTTTAAAATTGTGTCAAACTCTATTATTGTTTTATATACTCTGCGTCTAACTCTTGGTGGTCCTTATTTAACAGTATTTGACCTAAATGCGCTCAAACTGTGAATAAATTTTAGAATCTAAACCTCTAAAATTATAAATATATATATTTTATATTTAGCCTAAAAAAATAGTAAAAATAAACTCTTAAAACCTGATAAAAATAACTATTTTTTAGTATATTTATTATTTTTTTGAAACTAAATACAAGAAAAAAATATATTTATAATTTTAGGGGTTGAGAAATTGAGATTTTAATTTTTATTTGCAATTTGGGTGCATTTAGGTCAAATACCGTTAAATAAGGACCGCCGAGGGGGTTAGACGCAGAGTTTATGAAACATGGGGGAGTTTGACGCAGTTTTAAAAGTACAGGAGATTTGACATAATTTTATGAAACTACGGAAAAATTTCGAGCAATTTAGCCTATAAATATATATAGGTATACTATATATATTTACTTTTGTACAGGAATATTAATATATGTATATAAATATAAATGTATATATATTATATGTAAAAGCATACCTATATATATTTACTTTTGCACATGAATATTAATATATGTATGTATATAAATATAAATGTATATATGTTATATGCAAAAGCAATTAATGCAAAGAGAGGAAATTGGAGAATTGAGCCGAGAGGGTAAGAAAGTAATGGTGTTGTGATTGTAATTCTTCTTCTGTATTTTTAGATACAAGACTATCACATGTATATATACTAAGTAATGTATTCATTACATAATAACATTCCACCTTGTTGGATTAAATGCATCTATACAATTTGTATATATTTACGTGGGAACTATGTGTGTACTTCGTAACACTTCATCTTGGATGCATCTAATACAAAGAATATGTATCGTTAAAATCTTACTAAAAATAAATTCAGTGGAAAAAAAAATTCTAGTGAAGGAAATAGAGTACAATATTCCTGTATTAATACGCTCCCTCTGTTTTAGACTTTATTTGATGTCTTTCAGCCGATACATTCCAATTCCTTGTATAAATTTGTTGAATGTTGCAATTGATAGCGCCTTCGTAAATAAGTCTTGCAAAATTTTCAAACGATCAATTTTTTTGCACACTAATTTCACCACTTTTCTGAAGATCGTGAGTGAAAAAGAGCTTTGAAGATATGTGCTTTGTCTGATCGCCTTTATATCATCTATTTAACTGAGCTATACAAGCTGCATTATCTTCAAACAAAATTGTATTAGGTAATACATTATCATAAATCAAGCCACAATTTTTCTGAATATGGTGAGTCATGGATCTCAACCAAACGCATTCACGACTAGCTTCGTGAATTGCTAAAACCTCAGCATGGTTTAAAGAAGTGGTTGTTATCGTCTGTTTCGCAGATCTCCATGAATCAAACAAATAACCAACATCACTATAACCAATTAATTTAATTCGAGATTCACTCGAATAAAATAGACCAAGGTCATGACTCCCTTGAAGGTAACGAAAAATGTGCTTGATACCATTCCAATGGCGCTTTGTGGGTGATGCGCTAAACGTGACCAGTAGATTTGCTGAAAAGAATATATCTGGCCTGGTACAATTTGCAAGGTACATTAATGCACCAATAGCGCTGAGATATGGTACCTCAGGGCCAAGTATTTCTTCATTTTCTTCTTTTGGCCTAAATGGATCTTTACTGGGGTCAATAGATCTGACCACCATTGATGTACTCAAAGAGTGCGATCTATACATATAAAACTGTTTCAATACCTTTTGGGTATATGCGGATTAATGGATAAATATTCCATTATTTACATGATTCACTTGTAGTCCCAGACAATATTGTATTTCCAAAATCTTTGATCTCAAATTCTTTCTTTTGATATTCAACTGCAATTCTCTTCAAGAGTTTCAATTAAATTGAGATCATCAACATATATTGCAATAATGACAAAATTTGATCCATTTTTTTTTATAAAGACGCGTGAGCATATTGAATCATTAGTATAACCTTCTTTTATTAAACAGTCATTGAGATAGTTATACCACATTCGCCCTGATTGTTTAAGTCCATACAATGACTTTTTCAATTTGATAGAATATGATTCATTTGAGTTTAATTTGTATGCTTTAGGCATATCGAATCCCTCATGAAATTTCATATAAATATTAGTATCAAATGAGCCATAAAGATATGCATTAACTACGTCTAAAAAAGACGCACATCTAGCTTTTATCGCACTGCTAGGCTCACAAGGTATCTAAATGTTATTTCATCAACAACTGGAGAGTATGTTTCATCAAAATCTACTCTAAGTCTTTGTGAGAATCCCTGAGCTACAAGATGGGCTTTATATCTCACAATTTCATTATGTTCATTTTTTTTTCCGTACAAACACTCATTTGTATCCAACTGGTTTTATACCATCTAGTGTTTGAACAATTGGTCCAAAGACATCTCTTTTGTTTAATGAGTCAAGCTCTGATTGAATCGCATGTTCCCATTTTGGCCAGTCATTTCTTTGCCGACATTCATGAACCGATTTTGGCTCTGGATCCTCGTTATCTCCCATTATATCAAGTGCTAAACTGTATGCGAAGGCATTATTAATAATTGCCTCTTTACGGTTTCAAAATTTTCTTGAAGTAACATAGTTGATTGAGTTTTCAATAATCTCATCATGTTCTTCAAGATCGTGCTCTTCTGGAGCAAGTATTTCATGGTTGACTTCCTCATTAGATTGAGGTTTATCAATGTCAATCCTGATATTTTCATGATTATCGTCATTCATTCCTCTTTTCTTTCGAGGATGTTTGTCTTTGGAACCGAGTGGTCTACCACGCTTTAAGTGTGTCGCTGATTCATTAGCACTTACAATTTATCCAACAGGGACAATTATTTTAGACGGAGCATTAGCAACTTAGATATATGATCGAGTGACTTTGTTCGAGTAATTGAAAGCATCCGATAACTGATTTGCAATATTTGACAAATGTATAATGCGTTGAACTTCTAGTTCACACTGCTTTGTACGAAGATCATAATAATTGAATGGGATTTTCCAATTAATATCCTTTTTCGGTTCATTTCTGTCTCCCCCTAATGTCGGAAAATATGATTCATCAAAATGATAATCTGCAAATCTTGCAGTAAATAAATCACCCGTCATAGGTTCAAGATATTTTATAATTGATGACATTTATATCCGACATAAATGCTCAACCTACGTTGAGGACTCATTTTTGTATGTTCGGGGGATGAAATAAGAATATAAATAACACACACAAAATTACGTATATGAGATATATTTTGTTCATGACCAAATACTAATTGCATAAGGGAATAACTATGATAGCTTCTCGGCCTCATTCTTATAAGTGTTCGTGCATGCAAGATTGCATGCCCCCAAGCTGAAACGGGCAACATAAACCTCATCAGTAATGGTCTAGAAATCAATTGCTCCATAAGTGATTCTGCCAGACCATTTTGTGTATGAACATGAGCAACTGGGTGCTCTACATTAATTCCAATCGACATGCAATAATCATCAATTGCATTCGATGAATATTCACCAGCATTATCCAGACGTATAGTCTTAATTGGACTATCGGGGAATTGTGCCCGTAATTTAATAATTTGGGTAAGCAATCTCGCAAATGTCATATTGCGAGTAGATAATATACAAACATGCGACCATCTGGTAGATGCATCAATAAGCATCATAAAATATTTAAATGCACCACACGGTTCTATTGGTCCACATATATCCCCGTGTATTCTTTCAAAAAATGTAGGTGATTCAATTCCTACTTTAGTTGGTGTTGGTCTGGTTATCAATTTTCCCTGAGTGCAGGCAGCACAGGTTAACTCATTTGAGTTTCATACTTTTTGACCTTTTAATGAATGACCATGCGAATTTTCAATTATTCCCCTTATCATTATACTGCCAGGATGCCCAAGGTGATCATGCCATATTTGAAAATCGGTAGTCTTTTGATCTATTGTGAGATGTGTTTCAACAACACCTAATCTGACATAATATAAACCAGTAGAGAGTGAGGGTAATCTCTCAATGATGCAATTCTTTTTATCAATGATATTGGTAATCAATAAAAATTAACCATCGATATCACTCATAGTTTCAATATGATAACCATTTTCCGAATATCATGAAAGCTCAGTGATTTTTTTTGAGCTTTAGTGGCCAACAGTGCATACTGTATCATAATTTTCGTCCCGTGGAAGAAATATAATGGTGTCTCCAGAGCCTTCAATTAATTTTGCATTGCCACTTATTGTATTGAGATTCATTTTTTCCCTTTTCAAATGGGAGAAATATTTTTCGTGTTTCAATATAGTATGTGTCGTTGCACTATCAATGAAACAGATATTTGCATCATTTTTATTGGCATCCATTTAACCTTCAAATATAAATAAACGCAGTATTAATAAAGGCAAATATAAATATTACAAAATACATTACAAAAAGGTAATACACGATAA